ATGACCAGTGCCTGTACTAGTGATGCAACAGTACAGTCTACTTTTGAATCTACGAACATTGTCATTAAATTTACGACTAGATTAGTTAACATCCCGCACTCCGTTATCACTTACATCGCTACTCGAATCCATGTGTTTACAAGTCCAATCATTGATGATCCAAGTACAGATGTAGCTGACACCTCATATTTTGTTGGGTATAATAATACTGACAAGCTAACAATTTTTGTGATCGTTTACGTGCAGACAGTGGGTAGCTTTGCAAATTAAAGTAAATAGTGTTTTGTGACAATACAACAGAGAATAGAAGCACGCAAAAACTTACGTTTTTATTATCGTCTATCACAAAGGATTTTGAACTGATGACAGATATTCTGAACTATCCAAGATGGTGAATGATAATGTTGGCCCTACTAATGTGAAAAGTGTTAGGGAGTCCAAGGACAGGAGTGTAGTGCTTATATACGATCAAAATGAGACGTCACCTGTAGTTCTTCCAGTCAACTTGCCCTTACAGCAACAGCTGACCTTACAGCAAAGGTTACGTCAAACATTGGACTTTAAATTACAGCAGCAGTGTGCCATACGGCAACAGCCTATATATGTCAGTCCATCATTGACAGGTATTGATATTTATCACTTGATTACCATTTTATTCAGTACATGCACCTTCTGTAATTTATTCTGAAGTTGAACCCATGTGATGACCTATTATGATGTCATAAAATGACAATGAAATTATGTCCCACACTTCTAGATTGTACTAAGTTGTCACAATCAATGGAGACAAATGAGAGCAAGCTAGGATTGTGTGATAGGATTTCAGGGGATTTTTTCCCAATCTTCACGAAAATTCATAACTTGTGATTAAATAAATGTATATAATTCAATTTTATATAAGATTATAAAACTTATCACAAATTATTTAAGCTTGCCATAAGGGCGGTAGAATTAATGAAAACTGTGATTTGCTTCATAATTCTCGCATGACATGGAAACTAATGTTTATAAAAATCATATGTATGTCGGAGACATTTTGAGGCAATAGTATATTACGTCTCTGGTATATGTATCTGAAATAAGAACACAATTGATGAACTTGAAGGGATCGAGACAACATTTAACTTGTGTCCTGTCCGTGCCTGGAACTCTCGAGCTCCTAGCTCCGACAACAAATGGGGGTAATAATTAGCTGGGAAAATCTGTAGCTCTGACCATCACTCTAGCTGTCAACTAGGGGCTCCTCAAACAAGAACATTTTAATGTTGCCCAATAATATTGATCCCAGTGACAAATCATGTATTGATGATTTACGTGTACCTCCATCACAAGTCACATCCATGGATACGAGTTGCACGAATATTGTTTATTGGACATTACAGTACAATAACGACAGGAAGTTTATATCTTAAACCTTTTGATCAACATACACTACTGTATATGATACATTGTGTTTGTAATGGAATGTGAATAAACATTTGATCCCGTACTCCAGACAAGATAGACATCCTGATGATATAGTGTCAACGGCGTTATCTGTCATCAGATCGAGTGTCCAGGCAAATCATGAAAAACTTAGGCATGACAGCTGTCTATATAAATAATATACCATAATCACTATTGTAAGTGTCTCTCTCAAATGCATCAATCAACATATAAATTCACCATCTTACTTTTTTGTGAAAAAGAAAATTACCAAACCTGGCAAGTAATATCTAGGCCTATTCAAAATTTTATACGAGACTGTTTCATGATTAGGGCTTCCTAATTTAGGTATACACATAAGCTGTTCTTATAAATATAATTAGATATGAGGCTGTTTCGAGATTAATTCCTTTCCCAAAGTGACAGTCACTTGTATTTTAACATCTGTGTTAAAAACTTTTCGTTGATTAGCTCCATGTGTTTAAACACCAGCTGATCATGTATTCATCCGAGATCAGCACATGACTAGCTCATGGTGATCACAGTAATTCTATATAATGTGGTTTAGGAAGCCTATAAGAGCTAGGTCAAGGCCACTAGCTGTCAGACATGTCCAGATAGCTTTGTAGTAACTGATCATGCTACTGTAACACTGTGCATGTACACAAACCTGACAATGGGGATACTACAGTAAGCACTTCTTTTATTTTATACACAGTGATATAAAAATGATTAAGTCTTACATACAGTGATACAAAAATGATTAAGTCTTATATACAGTGATACAAAAATGATTAAGTCTTACATACAGTGATACAAAAATGATTAAGTCTTATATACAGTGATGCAAAAATGATTAAGTCTACCATAAGGACAGCTCTTCAGAGCTACCGGTAATATGTTTCATGTTATATATATATATACGACAAAAAATAAAGTTTCTTGTATCTAGTGTGCTCTGTGATTGTAATGCAGATATTTTGCAATCTGACACCTAGATGCCATATAATTGTAATTTTGAAGGCTAAAAAAGATGTCGAAAGCAGTGACTTTAAAACTTGAATTCTGTCTCTATAAGTATTATTTTAGTGACAAACTTTATTTTGGATGTACATTTGTATAAAGGTATTGGGATCTTAACCTGTACAGTTTTATGCTGATTTTGAATGATGTTTAGTATCATGGTTTTGACAGATGCTGTGAAAGTTAGTAGACATTTAATTAAATAAGATCTTTAAAAGCAGTGCCAAAATTGTTTTTGTAACCTTAATTTTACAATGAAATTTTTGACAAACTGTTTTGAATTTATAGGTGGCAGCTATGAAATTTATAGTGATTTTAGTGATTTGATTAGTTATTTGAAATTTATTTTTTTGAAAAATCATTAATGTGCATGGAAACAGAATTATATTTATATTTAATTGAATGTGACCATTTTGAATCTCAAACATGCTTTTGTTTACCTAGGGGATGACTATTCCTTCTTTGTGTATTGCAGTTATCTTCTCTTGTGAGCAGGTATTGATTGTTACGTCATTTGTTTGTGAGAGTAACGTCATCAATTTTTGAGAAAACGACGTAATTTTCTCACACAAACCAATGACATAACAATCAATACCTGCTCACAAGAGAAGGTAACTCTGCAATACGCAAAGACGCAATACAATAATTATCACTAGTGTCTTACTCAATTGAAACACCAAACTTATGTGTGTGATAAGATTGACCTCAATTCACCCTGAGGGAGCAGGTCAGGGTATATAGAGATCTGTGGAATAGTAGGTATACATTAAGTAAAACATATCATTGTAATTTAGCTTACAAGATCCGTCAAGATGTGTTATACATATAACAAGCTCACAAGATCCTGTCAAGATGTATTATACATATAACAAGCTCACAAGATCCTGTCAAGATGTGTTATACATATAACAAGCTCACAGGACCCTGTCACAGTCCTTAAAAGCACAACTGATATTTTCTTAGATCAGTGCATACATCTGTAGTATTACCTGTGGTATATACTTTTTGAATGGGTAAATATTTACATTGATTTGCAACTATGCAATGCAGCAATGTCAAAAAAATAATTTTAGCTCTACCACTAACCACTTAACACATACAGTTTTAAAGCTGTTTAGTTATCACCATCGGAAAATGGGATGTTTCTTATCATACATTACTCAAGTCTGTAAAATCATTGTTTGATATGGTGTACGTGGGTGATGCAACCTGAAGTGTGGACTTTGAGTTCTACTATATAAAAACACTGTAAAGGGTGATGCAATATTCATATTTCTCTATGTCAGCTAATCTGGTAAAAAGTTCAGTTATTTTAGCCGAGTCAGCATGTTAAACAATTTGAATAATGAAATAAGAGAAACATAATACCGGTATACCTTTATAGAAATAGATGTGTGATAAGAAATGAAATTACAGCAAGGACTTCTTAAATTACTCAAAAATTATCTAAAGATTGTTCATAATTAGAAAATAAAGTAAGAAGTATACAAGAAGACTGAATGTACACAGTTGAAATGTATTTCTGTGACTGTAATATGTTCATGTATCTTGCTAATAAGCTTTTACAGATATAATTTACTTAAAAGTCTAAACACTTTTGTTTCTGAAAAATAAGTTATATCTAGACTTAAACAACTTACAATGATATGCATGAACTTTTGTACTGTTTTACATGTGGGGACTATATATGGATTGTCTTGCACTATCACTTAATTGAAGACAGATTAATACTGATAAATATATGTTTTGATTCTGAATGATCTTTAAAGCCCTAGCTTAACAAATGTTTCTGCCTGTATGAGGTCATCAAGTGCTTACGATTTAATGGCACTGTAATTATAAGTACTTGCCATTGGGATTGAGTGGTTTTACCAGCTTTACCACAGATAGTCTATCAGTAAATACTGTATACATATAAAATGGGGTCACCATATTTTACATACCATGTTAATACAGGTGACCCTCCTCTTTTCATGGTCCATGCTATTTATTTTTTCTAAAAACAATATTTGTATTGGATTGATTATATGAATTTAATATTGAGAAAGGACAGCACCTTTGTTCTTGTTAATTAATACTGTAGGTTTGCCCTTTACCTGCAAAATTCTTTCAGGTTCAAAAATACTGTATGCTGTCTTATTAACTCTCTCTATATAGCCACTTACTTGTAGTTTACTTTCATGCATGCATCCTAATTTACTCTGTATACTCTGTTTACCTGTATTCCGTCTTTGTGATTGCAGAGTTGTCTGCTCTTGTGAGCAGGTATTGATTGTTACGTTATTTGTTTGTGAGAGTAACGTCATCAATCTTTGAGAAAACGACTAAATTTTCTCACACAAACCAATGACGTAAGAATCAATACCTGCTCTTAAGAGAAGATAACTCCGCAATACGTAAAGACGGACTAATAGATACAGGCACAGGTATATACCCCATTATTCCCTAATATAACTTTATATAACTGTTTACCTTCAATACCTACAGGTAGATATACCTGGAAAATATATTGCCCCCTAATATCTAACCCTTGCCCTGTTTGATCATTACAGGTACATACCCGGGAGCAGTGATAAAGGTGGAGAAGGATGCCACTACACTATCTAGTCCCACATGTACAGCAGCCAGTCTGGCCATGCCAAGCCTATCCCAGCTGCAGCCTATCCGTCCCCAAGAGTCACCGGCACCCTGTCCCCCCTCCCAGACCATCACTATCAGTCTACAGGAGGTAGGAAAGCTGGGGCCCTCGTTTGTTTCAGAATTCGTTACAGTTTAAAAGACCTTAAGCTGAATTTTGTTGATACAAAGAGATATAACTGTCTTCCATACCTAAATGACTGGGTGCTGGTCGAGTTGTACAGGTGCATGTGGTTGTGCTATCAATGTCAATGATTTATAACATATAAATTCTTGGGACTATTTCAAAATGGTTGTTAGACAGTTTGTTAAGACAGATGTCACTATTAACCGGGAACTGAATGTGTTAGGATTGAGCATTAGTCCTTCTGTGATCTCTGACCAATTAAGATTGAGCATTAGTCCTTCTGTGATCTCTGACCAATTAAGAAATGTTGTAACATGTAACAAGCATCCTAATTATTGATAATACTGACAATTTTTGTTTTGTGTTTAGGCATCCGACTTGAACAGTAGGATCAGTTTATATGGGTCAACATCCGCCATCACTGGTAGATCCACTGATGACTTGTCTGGTGACAGTAAGTACATGTATAAAAAACAGTTTCTCTTCCACAACCACTATAGGTTTCCTCACTCCCACAACCACTATAGGTTTCCTCCCTCCCACACCCACTATAGGTTACCTGACTCCCACAACCGCTGTAGGTTTCATCACTCCCACAACCGCTGTAGTTTTCCTCACTCCCACAACCACTGTAGGTTTCCTCACTCCCACAACCACTGTAGGTTTTCTCACTCCCACAATCACTATAGGTTTCCTCACTCCCACAACCACTATAGGTTTCCTCACTCCCACAACCGCTGTAGGTTTCCTCACTCCCACAACCGCTGTAGGTTTCCTCACTCCCACATTCACTATAGGTTTCCTCACTCCCACAACCACTATAGGTTACCTGACTCCCACAACCGCTGTAGGTTTCCTCACTCCCACAACCACTATAGGTTTCCTCACTCCCACAACCGCTGTAGGTTTCCTCACTCCCACAACCACTGTAGGTTTCCTCACTCCCACAACCACTATAGGTTTCCTCACGGCCGACTCACTGAACAAACCTGCTAGGAGTTATTTCATTAGTCTATTTTCTAATTATGACATCAAGTAACAATGCATCATCATCTGCTATTGTGACATCATAGTTCATGGCAATTGTGTCCCTGATCGAAAACAGGTTTAATGTATTTCCTAGACAAATGTAGGGATTTCTAGATTCAATATCTTTACATTGTGGTAGAAAAAGGTCCCAAAACTTTTGATAGTTGATTATCATGTTTATATAACTCTCGTTGGTTAATTTTCAAATTGTAAAAGACACTCTGTTAACAAAAAGAATGTCTTTTACAGTTTGAAAATAAACTAATGAGAGTTATATAAACATGATAATCAACTCTATCACGTATTGGGGAACACCTATACACCAAATCATCTTACATGCATATCTGTTTTAGTTTATAGAGAGGGGTAATGGAGCTTATAGAGAGGGGTAATGAAGCTTATAGCGAGGGGTAATGAAGCTTATAGAGAGGGGTAATGGAGCTTATAGAGAGGGTTAATGAAGCTTATAGAGAGGGGTAATGAAGCTTATAGCGAGGGGTAATGAAGCTTATAGAGAGGGGTAATAAGCTTATAGAGAGGGGGAATGGAGCTTATAGAGAGGGGTAATGAAGCTTATAGCGAGGGGTAATGAAGCTTATAGAGAGGGGTAATGGAGCTTATAGAGAGGGGGAATGGAGCTTTTAGAGAGGGGTAATGAAGCTTATAGAGAGGGATAATGTAGCTTATAGAGAGGGGTAATGAAGCTTATAGAGAGGGGTAATGGAGCTTATAGAGAGGGGGAATGAAGCTTATAGAGAGGGGTAATGAAGCTTTTAGAGCGGGGTAATGGAGCTTATAGAGAGGGGGAATGGAGCTTTTAGAGAGGGGTAATGAAGCTTATAGAGAGGGTTAATGAAGCTTATAGAGAGGGGTAATGAAGCTTTTAGAGCGGGGTAATGGAGCTTATAGAGAGGGGGAATGAAGCTTATAGAGAGGGGTAATAAGCTTAAAGAGAGGGGTAAAGGAGCTTATAGAGAGGGGTAATGAAGCTTATAGCGAGGGGTAATGAAGCTTATAGAGAGGGGTAATGGAGCTTATAGACAGGGGTAATAAGCTTATAGAGAGGGGTAATGAAGCTTATAGCGAGGGGTAATGAAGCTTATAGAGAGGGGTAATAAGCTTATAGAGAGGGGTAATAAGCTTATAGAGAGGGGAAATGAAGCTTATAGAGAGGGGTAATAAGCTTAAAGAGAGGGGTAAAGGAGCTTATAGAGAGGGGTAATGAAGCTTATAGCGAGGGGTAATGAAGCTTATAGAGAGGGGTAATAAGCTTATAGAGGGGGGTAATAAGCTTATAGAGAGGGGTAATGGAGCTTTTAGAGAGGGGTAATGAAGCTTATAGAGAGGGTTAATGAAGCTTATAGAGAGGGGTAATGAAGCTTATAGAGAGGGTTAATGAAGCTTATAGAGAGGGGTAATGAAGCTTTTAGAGCGGGGTAATGGAGCTTATAGAGAGGGGGAATGAAGCTTATAGAGAGGGGTAATAAGCTTATAGAGAGGGGTAATAAGCTGATAGAGAGGGGTAATAAGCTTATAGAGAGGGGTAATGAAGCTTATAGAGAGGGGTAATGGAATTGAAAATTATGCATTTGAACAAATTCAATGTAGAGAGAACTATTTGATCTCTGAAAACTAACAGTCACTTGCAAGTTTACAATGGAACACTTTTATAATTCCCTGCAGATTGTTTCTGACAAATGGCTTTGCTAAAAACACAATTTGTTAATGTAATGATAATGTAATAGCTCCATTTTGGGGACACATTTACCACATAACTATAAGCTTAAACTTGAAATGAGTTTGTTCATAGTAAAACTATTTTATTGTGTATCTATATGGAAATCACCAGCGAAAATCGTATATATAGATACAAGTACAACAAACTCAGGATGGACTCTAAATCTGCTGTTACGTTACAGGTACAGCCGGCTCCAGTTTGAAGTCCAGTACAGCGAGTACTCCTATGGTGGCCGACAGCTCCCCAATTCTCGACACAGCCAGTCTTGATATGGGTAGTCCACTCTCGGAAACTGATGGAAATGTGAGTTCTGAGTGTAGCACGTTGAACATTAAGGGAGTGTACTCCAGTCATTTTCCTAGTGCTTTCATATTTCAGTCACACAACCTGTTCAGGATTGAAAATAAAATTGATTTTTACATGACCATCAAATTTTTACAGGATATATTATGGTATGGGAACATCTATCTGTCTGTCCATCCAAACTTAACAGTAGTTTTCAGCAAAAAGACTTGCTTAGATATCATCATCTTTTGATTAAGCTTAGTAAGCACTTACAATATACTAAGGCTTAGGTTAAGGTCAATGTTTAACAAAATTTAAAGCATACATTATAAAGCAAACTGCACTCTGATTAGTCAAAGGTTTCCAACAATTGCTTAATTCGTTCACCCCTACCTGTTAAATTGGACTTACCCAGTCTCTGATTTGGTAAGACTTTGGGGGTAAATGGGTTAATCATATATGACCTGATTCTGATAAAAAGTTCTTAAATAAATATTCTATACAGAGACAAAAATTGATTATATAACACTTAGGAATTTATGGAGTTTTAATTGTTGATGTGAAATGGAACACATCTATAATATGACAACATTTCAATATTGATATAAGTTCAGTACATGTACTTCCGAAAGGCATTTTTACAAAGAACCTGTAAGGTATTTTTTTTTACATGTTTTTTTGGTTTTTTTTGCACAAATCTCTTGGAAGTTTCATGAAAAGAAGTTTTGTACGGAAAGAGGTAAACTTGCAGACTAAGTATCTTTAAATACTGTTTGTTTCAGGACTCACCTAGGGGGCGCCACAGTAGTGGAGACGGGGGAGGTACTCGCCGAGTTTCTCACACCTCTGCTGAGCAGAAGCGCAGGTGTAACATAAAGGTAAAACTAGTGTGTTTATGTATCGGTGTACTTGTATTTGTCAAATTACTTCATGATTTTGCCAGAAAAGCCAATAAAAAATTGTTTTCTTGATTTTACTTATCTTTAATTAGATTTTTATGAGCTGTTCCTAATACTATGTAATGTCCTGTGGCAGAAGCTTGGTTGGTAAATGATGTAAGTTAAGTAGAATTGATATCTATTAACTCATAAATTGGTTATTTCTACATTTCAGAATGGTTTTGATGTGTTACACTCTCTGATACCAGCTCTGAGTCAGAATCCTACTGCTAAAGTGAGCAAAGCAGCCATGCTACAGAAAAGTATGTCTACACATTCTGAAATAGCAGCCTAGTAAAAAATAGTATTTTAAACTACCGATATATAAAGGATAATATTTCACCTTCTAAATTTACATATCATGCCACACTTACATCTTTTTCTTTGGAATTACTGGGTATCTTAGTAGGACAAGCTAATGGAGTTACTGGGTGTCTTAGTAGGACAAGCTGATGGACTTACTGGGTGTCTTAGTAGGACAAGCTAATGGAATTACTGGGTGTCCTAGTAGGACAAGCTAATGGAATTACTGGATGTCTTAGTAGGACAAGCTAATGGAATTAATGGGTGTCTTAGTAGGACAAGCTAATGGAATTACTGGGTGTCTTAGTAGGACAAGCTAATGGAGTTACTGGGTGTCTTAGTAGGACAAGCTAATGGCATTACTGGGTATCTTAGTAGGACAAGCTAATGGCATTACTGGGTGTCTTAGTAGGACAAGCTAATGGAATTACTGGGTGTCTTAGTAGGACAAGCTAATGGAATTACTGGGTATCTTAGTAGGACAGCCTAATACGAAAATGCAAATTACATGATTTTAAGTTTCAATTAGATAAAGGGAAGATTACAAAATCTCAGAAAGAAAAAAATTAAAGATTAAGAAAAAGCAAAATTTAATCATCATATTTGAGTGGCAAAATTGTCAAATTGTCTGTTTGACTTATGTGCTGCCTTGAATATTCAAATATTGAAACATAACTTCAAATACCATGCGGACAGATTATTGCAATATTAACACATTCTTGTTGATAATTTCATGTGGAACATAAAATGGTTTGTTTTAGCTGCGGATTACTGCAAGAAATTGAAGTCAGAACGAGCTCATATGCAAAAAGAGGCAGAAATACTTAAACAAGAAATAGAATCTCTCAACCAGTCTATTAGGTAAATATATCTTTTATTCAATATAAATTTAGAAACAAAACCTGTTAACCAGTCAATCAGGAATCAGGTAAATTATAAATGTGTCGGGTATAAGAACCCTACCAGTCTAAAATATTTACAACCAGCATATATACTCTTATATCAGTTTGAACCCAATACAGAATAGCTAACCAGTCTTTTATAAGGTAAATATTTCTTCCAACTAGTAACTATAATTAGGTTAAAACTGCTCTTAACCTGTATAGTGCAAATTTTAATAAGATTCATCAGTTTGGAAACATGTAACTGTAATATTAAAGTTTTACTGTATACACAAACAATGTACATATGATATGAATGATATGCCCCCCCCCCCCCCCCCCCCCCCCCNGAATCCTGATAGTCTGAAAGTTCTTTTTCAAACAAAATTTCAATTTAAAGTCAAAAGTCACTGAGAAACAAAACCCAGAATATTGTTGTTCTGTTAACAGTACGTGCCAGTCCCAGTTACCAGCCACCGGCGTTCCTGTGACGAGGCAGCGAGCAGACCAGATGAAGGAGATGTTTGATGAATATGTCAAGAACCGTACACTTGACAACTGGAAGTTCTGGATTGTATCCTTTATATTTAAACAAGACATGTTGTGTAGTAAGAAGTTTCACCGAGGTAAATTCTGGAAAAAAAAGAAGGAACGTACTGTAAACCCTTGTGGTGGAGATTATTTCATAAATGTGTCAGAAAATTCTATTCTGTGACCATGAATTGTACCAAACTGTTGCCCAGGCTTTTGTGTGTTATCTGCTAGCCCTGATTTAACTACCACTAGGAACCTGTGCTCCCTTCATTTAATATGTCCCAACACAGCTGAAATGTAATGAACTCATCATGGGGAGGGGGGGGGGATATTAATGTGAAAAAAATAACAACTGACAAATGTTTTTCTGCCCAGATAGAAGACTTGGGGGTTTCTGCATTCTGAGCACTAATAAGGTAAAATTCAGTAACCAATACTAGATATGTTAAGTTATAAGGTACCAACGGGAAAATCTTATCTCCTTGACCAATGTCCAGTTTTCTATGATGGTGAAGCCACTGTTTGAGGCCTACAATAACATGGTATCAACGGCCAGTGTGGATGAGTTGTGCAGGACCACGATGGCCTGGCTTGACCAGCACTGCTCGCTAGTGTCCCTCCGACCCAGTAAGTCATTCTAGAACTGAGTACTGCTAGGTACACATGCAGTGTATGTTATTACTCATCCTAAAGCAACCATCACTAGAGGATAAGTGCCATTTTATATCGGGGGAGGGATAGGAAAAAACAACTTTCAATAGGCTATTTGACAAAAAGCATAATTTCATCTTGACAAGATACATAAATGAATTTTGGAAAATGTCTATACAAAACTTGTTACCCAAATTATTTAAAGCTTTGTTTCTCTTTTAACCAGCCGAAATGTTGTTACTTTGTCCATATCACTGTTACTTGCTTGAAATTAATGATGGTTCTTCCAAGACCTGGTGCACTGCTCCTGTCAATGCTCCCGTCATTTCATTTGCTGTGTTCTTGTTCAAAGTCTTAAAAGCAAACTTGTCTCCTCGTGCTGTGTTATTTTTTTTCTAGTATAGATCAGCAGTAAGTTAAGAACAAGGCCATAGTCTGTATAATTTTTCATTCATTGTCGAAAAAATTCTCACCCATTTAATCAACCTCTTCTTTCCATTTCAGCTGTTCTGAATGCCTTGCGGCAACTCAGCACATCCACCAACATACTGACCGATCCAGCCCGCCTGCCAGAGCAAGCCACAGAGGCGGTCATCAAGGCACAGAAGCTTTCCAAATCCTGAGCCTTACCTGAAATCTGATTGGCTCAAAGTCTATGATGGTGTCATGCTCGTCCGAGTTCAGACACTCGTCAAAGTAACCTTAAAAGGAATTTGCTCAAATAATTTGGCAAAGTTTCAGGAATCCAATCCGATAGCTATGTGTGACAAAATAGCTGATGACTTGCAGGTTTTGCGTCAAAACAATTGACTCACAGTTTGTATGTCAAAATGAACCTAAGCTTTGCATAGTAGAATTTTTGACTCCATATCGTGATTGGCATTATCCTGCTTTGCAACAGAATTCCAAGTACCAGGTCGTGACCATGTGTCACTTTGACTATCGCAAGTAGTCAAATAATGACAAAGCCAGTAGGAAAGCCAAAAATGGTACAACAGCATCATTGAAAAGCCATCCAGAACAGTGTTAGACATGAAGGTTGTGACAGAAATGGCCATATTGACTGGTATGATATCTTGCCTTTGATTGACATTGTACTGAATGTTGACAACATTGATTGTGCCAATATTATGACTAGAAACTGGAATCAGGATTTTTCAAAACATTTTGAGATCATGGTTGATACAGAATGGTGGGATGAGATATTTATCCTAAGGTTTGTGATGATAACCGGTGTTGAATGGCAATTTGAAACATCTATGGGTTTAGACCATTGATGTGACCTTGACAAAGGTCAAACAGACAAGGGTAGCCATTTAGATTTGGTTAAGGCATTTTGTGAAGTTTTGCCTTCCAAACGGCTGACTTTGTTTTACACTAAGGAAGTGATGTGTATATCAACATACTGACTAGTTTGAAGCCTGTAAAGAAAAAAAATAATGATTCAAGATCTAGAATAGATTTTAAAAGGTCACTTATTTCTACAAAATATATTCATACTGCGTCTGTTATGACATAACGTCCACATTATTTACACTATATCTGTGTGTTATACTCCTCGCTGTTACTGTTTATGTGTGAAGTAGTTTTATCTGACCAATCATGTTTGAAATGTGCTTTATTTCAGAATTGTTTTGATATCTGTTTATAAGATTACAGAATCATTTGTTAATGAATTACTCATTGTTTTAAACTCATACATACAGTATCAGCCTTAGATTGGAATCTTACTTTTTGTCAAGACTTGCATCGCTGAAATGCTCAATAAATATATGCATACCAGAAACTGGTTCATCATTCATGATACTTCTATAAAGGAATTTTAGGGCTATTCCAAAATAGTTTATTTTCTGATTGTGGGACTTATTCAATGACCGATTCAGTTACATAGAATAGCTGATCCGTCTTCTTTTAAATGCAACATTTCTGAAGAGTAAATTATGGTAGATCAGTAAAAGGTGAATACAGACCTTTAACCCTTTCACCACTGTAGACCATAATGGACTCATCCAGATCAATGCATGGAAGAGTCTACTAAAGTTACATAGGGGTGAAAGGGTTAAGTCTGTGCAGGGGATACTAGGTCTGTCCCTGTTTATAAACAACTTCTGTGACTGTGGTCAAGGTGTTTTGAATGTGTGATACTGTTTAAATGAAATGGATCAGGATCAATTCGTCTATAAAACACCTGCTGTTTGGGAGGGGGGAGCTGGTGTTAACGAGTATAGAATATACATGGGGGGAAAAATCTATGTTAATTTACCCTTTCACCACTGTAGTCCATAAAGGACCCATCCAGATCAATGGATGGTAGAGTCTACTAAAGTTACATAGGGGTTACTCCAATGTGTGTAAAATAAAGGATTTATCAAGTGATTTTAATGAATTTACCAACTCTTTCATATGAGTTATTCTGGAAAAGACCTTTATCACTACTCAGCAGTTGTTACTACCGGGTAAAAGAAATCAATGATGTTATTTTTACAATATGTATAAGTATTGTCACTAGGTACCAAGCAAATTACTTGTTTTGTATCAAGCAATTTACCTCTGTTTTTAAACAAGTGCCCTCATTTTGTATTGATTTAAAACAAAATTATTAATCCCATTTGCATATTAATTTTAATATTCCACAACCACTTCTTTGAGAGCCATTTTCATATAGAGTGTATTCATGCAAGATTCATTAACATTATTTTTGAAAAAAAATATTAATTCAGAAAATTTAAATATGCATTGATTAATTCTAAAAAATAAAAAGCTTGGCATGTTAATTTATTTTCATATTTAAGAATATTAGTGAACTTAACATATAATGTAGGACACAATGAAGATTTTCTTCTAATGGAAAATGATAGATTGTTATGTGCAATGTTTGTTAGATCAAAATTAATTTCATCAAACTATGAAAACAGGGAAAGTTTTGATGTAAAGAAAATTAAGAAAAATGGTTGTGGAAGTGTGTTTAACTAAAGCTGAAACTGAATGTTATTCAGAAAAAGAATGATACTTCATCAATTATTTTGCTCAATGATAGTTGCGAGTCTATTGAAGTAGAATTATATACCAGTATTCATTTTGATAGAGCGACATTCCAGTTTTCTGTTGTAGATTGTCCGTCCTGACCAGTGTCTATAGCTTAGAACAAGTATGATACTGTCATGATTTGTTTATTAAAACCCTTTGTTTAAACTCTTAGAGTTTTAAATATCATGCTGAAAATGATTTGTGTTCAAGAACATCGTTTTCAAAGATGTTTTCAAATTTCAGTTCTATTTGTGGAAATCATATTTGATGAGTGTTATATACAAATTTTTAGATTCAAAATATTGACTGAAAAAGAAAGTCTCAATTACATTTGATGTAAAATTTGTTCACTTTAGATTGAGAAATAATTACTTTTTATTATACCATAAACATAGTTGTACAGAAATACCATGATGACACCTTAAAGGTGTATGCTACCCTATACATTATGCCTTTCATTTGTGTAGAGTTATCTCCCTTAAAATCATTTCATGGATCATATTCCAAATTAGCATTCATAAATGATTATTGAGTTTCTAAACGTAGAGCTCTTTTGGGATTATGGAAAATGATATGTATGCCATTAAAAATAGCATATATTGGTGTGTGAAGATAAGAATATGACTACACAAGTAGTATTCTATGAAAGAGTCACAAATATTTCAAAATCCAAAAGTGTTATTCTCCAATTATGAAAGGAATATGATTCACCTAAATCATCAAATTTTAAAATTTGTTAAAAAATCCATCATTGCATACATAAAAATTTCATTGAATACGCATACAATGTACATGTAATCTTGAATGATAAATTTCAAATTGTAGGGCTGTCATTTATTAAAATGTTTGCTTAAATATATTGGCATAAAAATATGATACTCCAATATGTATCAGTTATACAAGAAGAATCTACTAAAACGGAAGAAAAATACATTTAAAATGATAAATAATAAGAAATGTCTTGGTTCATTTGAAAATATCTTAAGGATCCCTGTCCCACTGCTGTGTTTTTCCCCCCTATACACAGTAACCTCCCCTCAGTTTTGTTTTTGATATCACTGTAGGACAGCCGGCCCAACACACTTCCATTGATGAGGTAGCTTCGTTGGTTTAGAGTGTAGAATAATAACTTGAATTCCAGAGTTTGAAAGCTGGTTTAGCTCCCCTGAAATTTTACACTCGTAACATTGTTCTTGATAAAATTTCTTTATTTTGTCTTTATACGGAAAAACCCACAAGGTATGATTTTCTTTTCAGAAATGATTTATCAAAGCTTAAATCAAGCCTTAAAAACAGTTTCCAATGTGTAGCTACAGTCTTTGGCAGGGATCCTGAATCCCATATGTCTTTTCTTTATTGATGAAAAGACTGGTTCTTGTATTCTCACTTATCAGGACAGATTTGGTTGTGCCCGGAGAAAAATTAACAAGTTGGCATTATTGATATTTAACCCTATATGTATGTATAATCTAGACAAAGTTGTTAGTGGTGACAGCCCTTTGTGAAAGTTCGTCACATCTTTACCTGTTTGGATTTCTTCAGGTAATAAGGTGTCCATAATGATCAATTAAAACAGGGTATTCATTAAATGGTTTGAAAGTTATCCTTCTCAAGAATTTGATTTTTCTTAATTACCTGATCATCTCCATTTCATGGCCTGAGAAAAATAAATCTTGAAAAATATGTAAACGTAGCAATATTGTAATGTGTTCGGGTAAAACAATTGTAGTGTATTGATGTCAGAGAACGATTTTATCTACATTGTCGTGGAAATGAGCTGGTGCCCCTTTGATAGCGTTTTACAGTTGCTGATACATTGTGTACATAGATATTACATTGGTTCAATCTCCTTTCATGTCATCGCTCCTGGTATCTTTAATATCTATCATGTGGTCAGTCTATCATGTGGTCACTATCATGTGGTCAGTCTATCATGTGGTCAGTAGTAAAAGTTTCATTGATTTACTGTGGAGCTTTTCTTCATTGATATTGTCAAAATGATGAAATTTGATTTGTATTTTTGCCAGATTTATGTATATGCACTTCACACATTTTATTCCCAATTCTCGAGCAGTCCTATGTATCTACGTTCTTACTGGTTAGTATTGTATTGGTGGTAGTGCTAGTCTTTTAAAAAAAAGTTGGGTGCCAAGTATTTGTGTTGATTATGCATATACAAGGAAAAAAAATTAAAAACATTTTGGTATATATATATAATTTCAAATGTTGACACTATGTCAACACTAAGTGTTAGTTTTTGGTGGATGTGCTGAAATAGAACTGTTGTGGAGAAAGAAGTTTATCCAAAATGACAAAAATTATAAAGGAAAAACGTTACATCATTACAGCATTGATTTCTATTCTATCAAATTAAATTTTGGTTTGATTTGTATATATCTAAAACTGTTATTTCTTCTGTACGTGGTATATGTACAAGATATTTATCATTTTAAAGGCAGCTTTTTGACATAGTTAATAATCATTATAGATTATAAGTACCAAAGTTGTAGAAATTTTGTAATATATTTAAGTACGATGTACAAACTATTCTGTGTAATGTCACATAGCGATATTCAATATTTATACATGACTGCTGGTAATTCATTATCATTCATGATTAAAATTTGATTTTGTCAAGTTGTTTTAATTTTATGTACCTTATTTTTATGATTAGTGCTAATGGTTCAAATATACCCCATCAATTTCATCAGGAAATTAATATAAAAAAATATCCCGTTATGTTCTAAAATTGCCTTTCTATCAAGTTATTAATTTCTCTTCTGACTGTTGCATCCTTGTTGTATTTTTGGAAACATGTAAATTAAAACTTCAGTTTTTCATGCCAATGCTTTCAGGATAGACTTTGGTAACATTATTTTTGGCTGGATTACATGATGGTTGAGAAATATGTTTTTAGGATCAATGGCGAAGCACATTAAGACTTAGCACACTGTTACCTATGGAGTAAGTGGTAGATGTATGATGTTCCCAGATTTTGTTAACAGGCCTAATTAATAAACACAGAATGTGCTATGAACAGCATTGGCAATTTTAGAAATAGTTTCTCTATATGAATACTGGAATTTTATGTTTTAATGTCAAATTCTGTGTTTAACATATCGGTTTACAAAATGATTTGTATAAATATTAATGACTGGGAATTTTTCTTTTCAATTTGAATTTAAATGCAACACAAAATCAGCGTGGAAGAGTTTTAAAAAATACCACAAATGTAGTACGAATTATTCTGACGTTTTATTGACTTATTGACGCCAGACCGATATAAAAAAAAAGTCGATAAAATGTCAGAATAATTCGGACTACCACAAATGATACAGCTAAATTTGCACATTTACGGTATTAGTAAACCTCCTAGTCAACAATTAAGAATAT